ATTAAGTGTCCAGTTTAAGGGTATTACACAGAAACATACCAAGGGAACATGAATCAAATATGCACTTTTATTCATTTACAATAAACTCATAGAGTACATCATTCTGATTGAAGCTAAGAGCATACAAAACTGTCCAACATCAGTGTTGTTTTTAGCAGAAGTTTCAAATGACTGTCACTATATTATTATTATTATTATTATTAGAGGTAGTCGACCTATACTCACCTCTACAGCTGCTTCTAAAAGCACTTTTTTTTGTAGTGTTGCATGAATGCATACACGTATACTTTTAGAACATATTCATTGATCAAATTTAGCCTGACTTGGTTGCAAGCCTAACTTAAGTGCATCAAATTACAATGTGGGTTAGGCTCGAATTGGAAAGATCATGTTGACCTTAGGTCTTAATCTTAGAATTTGGCCTAGATTGACCATAAACTTGCACCCCTAGTCATTTTCATTCGTGTTGTTGATGAAAATATAAAATGAAAGTCATTTTAGTTCATTATTATATAGGGTAAAATATAAAAACCTCCTCTTACGTTTTGACAATCATAAAAAAACTCTTCTCAAATTTCATTTTAACAAAAACATCCTCAATAGTTTTGAAATATCCTACTATTATTGTCACGGCCAAAAATGTTGGCATTTTGAATTATGTTGAAGCATGCCTTAACACAATTTTGTAACTTCAGAAAATAATGTTTGGTAATGAATTGAGACAATAACGAAAGAGGTAACAGGGGAGGTCTTTGTTAAAATGAAACCTCCCCCACCAATGAGAGGTTTTCATGATTGTGAGAAGCCTAAATGAGGTTTTTATATTTTACCCATAATGTAATTCGATTCGGTTCCCATAATTTTTTCTGTTTGAATCCGAAAAAAATGCGATGGATAACATATTATTCGAATTCGAATATAAACGAATAACATTTGGATTTACTCATTTGCCTATATCCTACATCCTATTCGATTCCATCCGTCTGATTGTCTAATCCACTAATTCAACGATTTGGATCAATAACCGGATTCTGTATCAACGATCGAACTTACGAATAGAACCTTAAATATAATAGTACGGAAGTCCCTAAACTATATAAAGTTCTTCTCCCCAAATTTCTCTGGAAAAAGTTGGGGAATTCTTGCCGGAGGGGTTATTGCTATTCCCGTCCGACCTCCCCTCTCTTCTGGTGGAGCTTAGAATCACTCCTTCGAGTTCAGAGCTCCAAATCTCGCTTTCCCCGGTTTCGTATTCTTCTCCCTCCCTTTAGCGCTTTTAAATATTCCGAATTCGTCTCATTTTTTCGCTCATAGTTTTTTTTTTCCTTTTTCTTTCGCTGGTATTGCAGGTCTGAATTGACTGAAGCAATGGTGAGTTTCAATTTAGTTCTTTTTTTTTGCTTCAACAGATCTTGAGTTGCATTATTTTTCCCGGTTCAGTTTGATTGCAACATTTTTTGTGTTGTGGTTTTCTTTGCAGGAAGGAGGAGGTAACCTAGATGCCTCTATAGAGTCTCTGTTGAATGTGGAGAAGCAGATGAGACTTGCTGGGGATGTTGCTGGAACAAAGAAAGCTGTTGTCGACATCCTGGAACTTTGCTTTCAGGCTCGAGCATGGAAGACGCTCAACGACCAGATCATTCTTCTGTCAAAGCGTAGAGGTCAGCTTAAACAGGTAAAGGAAACTTGAAAAACAGAACTGCATTATGAGATTTTGTAGCTTCTTACGGACGAAGAGGCGACGGATAGGTCACAAATTCTTTAACTGTTTTTGCAATTTGAAACTTTGAACCTAACGTCCTTGCCCAAAATTTGACCCATCCTTGAGAAAATTTATGCGCCTGGGTTTAACTCTTTTTATGAATATTATCTGTCTATCTGCAAACTTTAGCATTTTGTCTTTACTGGGTAGAGGAAAAAAGTAACAACTTTGCAACATAAGGAAGATAGTTTGGAATCACAGTGACGATACAAAACGGTCAAATAAACAACAGTTTGAATTTTGAAAGGGAGTGGAAAGGTCTCCTTACCTTACATTCTTCAGAGAGGAGAGAGTTAGTAATGCAGGCTGAGTGGTCTTCATTGGTTGTTGTTGTCTCCTTGTTTAACATGATGTTCAGATGCCATGCTAGGATATTGCTATTATCAACTTGTTGAAAGTTGAAAATTGAACCGTATTCAAAGGTTATGTTGAAAAAATCTCTCCAAAATATCAATGTCTTGAATTTATATGCGATCAATGATATTTATCCTTGATTATTCTTTCTTGAGGAGGTTTTGCTAGCATGGTTGTTCCAATCTTTGATGCTTAATGATATGCTACAATATATCTTGCCAACTTTTTTATGTTTAGAAATCTTATGTTAGCCATAGTGCTAGGGTCTTGCTTGGTGACAGAAATTGTAAAACATTAGGATAAGATGCATGAGAATGAGAACGTGGATTTGTTTTAGGTCAATATCCGGTTCACCTCTCCCAAAACCCTGGGTGGGTACTGCCCGACCCTTTAACATTATATGAAGTGTTATTGTCACAGGAGATCCTTGTTTAGACATGGTTGGTATAATTGGTTTGCTTCAACCATTCACACTGTTGTTGTTTTCACACAGGCAGTAACTGCAATGGTCCAGCAGGCAATGCAATATATTGATGAGACTCCTGATATTAAAACTCGTGTAGAACTCATCAAAACACTAAACAGTGTATCTGCTGGGAAGGTGAACAAATAAAGCTAGAATTTCCTTACTTTGTCTTATCCTTTTTGTGATCCCTCTTTGTTTTTAAGATATATAATTAGTTGCCTGTACTGTTCTCTAGATATATGTAGAAATAGAGAGGGCACGATTGATCAAGAAGCTTGCAAAAATTAAGGAAGAACAAGGACTTATTGCTGAAGCTGCTGATTTGATGCAAGAAATTGCTGTAAGTGTTGTTTGGTACTCCAGGTGGTGTTTGGTGTTTTCTGCTCATTTGAATACATGAATAGACAAGAACTCGATCCATATAGAGCAACTTGTATTCTCAATCCCCTTACACTTTTAATTTGCATTACAGGTGGAAACATTTGGAGCAATGGCAAAAACAGAGAAGATAGCATTTATCCTTGAGCAAGTACACTAAAAATCATTATGAGAATTTGTTAATATTTTTTGGGCATACCTTGCAAACTGGCTTGCTGAAACTCAAACATTTTCCAGGTCCGTTTATGCTTAGACCGTCAGGATTATGTCCGTGCACAGATCCTCTCAAGGAAGATTAGTCCACGTGTTTTCGATGCTGATATTTCAAAAGAAAAGAAGAAACCCAAGGAAGGTGATAGTGTTGTTGAAGAGGCTCCTGCTGATATACCTTCACTATTGGAATTGAAAAGGATCTACTACCAATTAATGATACGGTAGTTTGATATTTGCATAACTCTTCCGTTCACCTTTTGTTTGTTTTTATTATTTATTTTTTGCAATATAACCTACACAGTTGAAAATTTACCATCAGTTGTTATCCAATTGTTGTGGTTGCCATTCTGATTTGGTCTTCCATTTTCTAAGGTCCCATAGATTCTAAAGCCCCTTCCCAATTATCTTAATGGGGATGGTTTTCAAGCTAGACTTGGTTTTGAAGAGTTGAATTAAGCCCCCAACTTTAATGCAATTTCATTCATAGAGGGCCTCTTTATAGAATATAGCTGAGAGAGAAAAGTTATCTTCTATGTTCTGATCAGAAAAAGGTAACATTTTATGTTTATTATATTGGGTATATATTTTGTTCCATGTCGTACTCTTTGGGAGAGAATAATTGAGCAAAGTGTACGGCATGAAACAAGTATATCAGAGAACCAATTTGGGTTTATGCCAAGGAGATCAACCATGGAAGATGTCTTTATTTTGAGAAGATTGATAGAAAAGTTTGGAGAGAGATCTCCATATGGTGCTTTTTGATCTAGAGAAATCATATGACAAAGTTCTTAGAGAGATAATATGGTGGGTCTGTGAAAAGAAAGGGGTTCAAAATAGCTATATAGACCTAATTAATGATATGTATGATGGTGCAACAACCAATGTTAGAACACATGTGGGAGAGACATCAGATTTTACAAGTAAGTGGGGTCTTTATTAAAGTTCAGCATTTAGTACTTATTTATTTCCATTGGTCATGGATAAATTGACTAAACATATTCAAGAGGAGGTTCCATGGTGCACGTTGTTTGCTGATGACATTGTTTTAATTGATGAAACTAACAAAGGATTAAATGCAAAATTAACATTAAATGATTAGAATAGAATATATGGCATGTAAATTTAATAACAATGGGAGTGTAAATTGGGTACACTGATTCCTGAACTTATATTCCCTTTCTTCGAAAAAATTTCAAGTTATTTCTTCTTTTCATGTTTCTAGGGATTCTTGGGATCTAGGTCTAAGGAAAGGTTTGAGGGGCTCAGAAGTCAGTTTGCTAGATGATCTTTTCTCTCTTCTAAGCTCAGTTTTTTTGGACTAGTTTTGTCCTGATAGTAGAATTTGGACTTAATCTTCTTCAGGTTGCTTTTCATGTTCTTCCTTTTTAAATGCTTTGGTGCTCCTTTCTAACCCGGTTACCTCCTTTCTTGTTAAAGAAGTCTGGGGTGCTCTGGTACCTCCAAAGGTAAGGGCTTTTTGTTGGGAAGTGGTTCTCCAAAAAATTAATACCTTGGAAATGCTTCAAAGAAAAAGACCAAATTGGTGCTTGTCCCCACACGTTTATAGGCTTTGCTTGAGGAATAGTGAAGCGGTGAATCACCTATTATTTTCTTGTCCTTTTAGTACTCTTATATGGGATTGATTCTCCTCTCTCTTTGGCTATAGGTGGACTCCCCCTCAAGTATAGTGGATTTTTTTGACCCTAGCTTTTTTTGACAACCTAAAAGAAGGGAAGGGTGATGTGGAAAACAACAAGGGCAGCTATCTCGTGGGTAGTGTGAGAAGAGAGAAACAATTAGATTTTCCAAGGGAAAGAAAAATTAGTGCCTAAACTCATAGAAGGGATCACCGTCAAGACAATACATTGGCTGAAAACTCTTGACCTGTTCAAGGATGTTTCTGTAGACGACTTGATTAGAGGCTGGAGTATTATAGCAAGCTCCTCTTCTTCATCACCTACCATACAAGTGGTTTGGCCCCCTCCGGTGTAGTATAATGTAAAGCTAAACTTTGATGGCAGCTCTGTGGGAACCCTGGACCTTCTGGAATAGGGGGTGTGTTTAGAGATGAGATAGAAAAAATCTTGGCTATGTATTCTGGTCCAATAGGTCTGAGGGACTCGCTTAGAGCTGAAGTGTTAGCCCTCCTCCAAGGGCTCAGATTGGCTAAGCAATTGGGCTTTCAACAGCTAGAAGTGGAAGGGGACTCAAAATTAGTAGTAGGTTGGATGCAATCAATCAGCTTGGAACTTGGCCCCTTAGACAACCTGTAAGGGAGTTGTTGAGCCTTAAAATAGAGCTGGATGCTCAAGTTGTTTGGACTAGGAGGTCAGCAAATGCTTTAGCTGACAACCTAGCAAAGCAAGGGGTGAATCGGGAGTTTTTGTTTTGGGCAGTTTTGTAGTTTGAATTATGTTCAGGGGTCACCTTACACTTTAGTAGGTGATAATTGTATTTCTAGTTTTTTTAGTTAATGAAAGTTATCATTTCCTATAAAAAAAAAGTAGTACAAGGCAACCTTGAATCTCTCACATAAAAGTAAATCCACATGCTCCATGTTTTGGATGCTATATTTAAGAATATATTATTCATGCATTAATTGAAGTGTGATTCTCATCATAAAGCCAAGTTTTTTTATCAGCATAGAAATTATTTTATTAGATTTAAAGAAAGTTGTAGCAGTACAACATGATGACAGGGATGTCATCCCCAGGAGCTTATCAAGTTACAGTTACTGTTAGTGGTGTTAGTGAAGGGGTATTTTGGTCTTTGCACTTGTTGAGAATGTTGATGTGTACTATTATGTTAGTTCGAGTGCCTCTTACTTAAATAAGGGCACTTAAGTCTTTTCCAATAAGTTAATAATATAATAATAGGTCTGGCCGAATCTAGGGATAA